ATTGATGTCTGTGATGTCATACCAGAGTCTATAAATAGAACCCAGCAACTGGAACTGACCAGTTCGGTTCACACTCTTGTGTTAGTCAAACGTTTTCTAAGATCTCCCAAAATACTGCAACAAAGTTTTCCGATACAGTTTGTCATGGAAGGAACAAGCAGCTCACACTTTGATAAGATCCCAGAGGAAGATCCAGCAGACCTGATTCAATCCAGGGTTGAATCCTGCTTTAGGAGGTTCACCCAGAGCCACTGGCTCAGCTTGATGTCTGGTGACCCGGACGAAGACACCACAGCCATCGGAAAAGAGATTCTACACGAAATCGTTCTGATCATTTCAGATGTCGTCCGGCAGAAAATTAAAAGCCAGAGCTGCGTCACAGAGGAAGAGGTTTCGGCCGCCATCAGGGACACTTTTCCTCAGACTCTGGCTGGGGTCATGGAAATTGAAGATGACGTCCAGCTGGAGTCCAACTCTGTGGCAAATGTTTTCATCACACAGGTTGCAGAGAGAGTGGAATCCAGCATTTTCGCAGCAGAACCAGAATCTCTGGACAGTACAAAGAGAGGAAAAACATGCCTCATGATAAAAACACTGCTGCTCAGCATGTTCAAATCAAGCAAATGTAAAAGAGAAAGCAGCAAAAAAGAAATAAAGGACAAAGTCGAAGAACCCCAACAAGCTGAGGATCGACTTGAATGTGCAGAGAATTACATGCAGGAAGAAACAACAAATCAGGAAAGCAAAACCATCAATGAACCTGATCATGAATCGCTACAAGAGACTGAGCAGAAAAATGAGACGTCTGATCAGGCTGAGAATACAGAGGTTTCAGTAAAAGCTGCATCAGTGCCTGAAAAACAAAAACCCAAAGAAAGAAGAACAGTGAAAAGTTGCATTGCAAAGTTTTTCACTCGCAAAAAGTCCAAAAAGGTAGAAACATCAGATGAAGAAAAGATGGAGTCTCCCCATTTTGAAGCCAAAACGGAAGAAGAAACATCTAAGGTTACTTGTGTAGATTTTTTACAACAGGACGATCCAGATGTTTTAACTTTTGAGGAAACAGAGTCTGAGCAGAAAAATCAGACGTATGAACAGGCTGAAGAGACCACAGATGTATCAGTAAAAGCTGCTTCAGTGCCTGAAGAAGAAAAACCCAAAGAGAGAAGAACAGTGAAAAGTTGCATTGCAAAGTTTTTCACCTGCAAAAAATCCAAAAAGGAAGACAAAATAGCTGAAGAAAAGGTGGATTCTCCCCATTTTTAGGCCCAAATGACAGAAGTAACCGATTTGGATGCAGAAGTAGGAACATCTGAGGTTACTTCTGTAGATTTTGTACAACAGGACGATCCACATGTTTTAACTTTTGAGGAAACAGGGTCCAGACAGAAAAATGAAATGTCTGAACAGGCGGGGAATGTAGATGTTTCAGTAAAAGCTGCTTCTGTGCCTGAAGAAGAAAAACCCAAAGAGAAAAGAACAGTCACAAGTTGGATTAAGAAGTTTTTCACTTACAAAAAATCCAAAAAGGAAGAAACATCAGAACAAGAAAAGGTGGAGTCTCCCCATTTTGAAGCCCAAATGGAAGAAGAAACTCATTGGCAGACAGAGGTAGAAACATCTGAGGTGACTTCTGAATACTTTGTTCAACAGGAAGATCCAGATGATTTAAATTTTGAGGAAAGAGGGTCTGAACAGAAAAATGAAACGTCTGAACCCGCTGAAGAGACCACAGATGTTTCTGTAAAAGCTGCTTCAGTCATTGCAGAGAAACCCAAAAAGGAAAGGACGGTAAAAGGTTTTTTTTATAAGCTTTTTACTATCAAAAAATCCAATATAGAAGATAAACAAGAGGAAGAAAAGATGGATTCTCCCCATTTTGAGGCCCAAATGGAAGAAGAAACCGATTTG